ACCATAGCATAAATGATATATACGCCAAATTAATTCCTCAAAAAATAGTTATTCAATTACATTTTGATAAAATAGTAATTCAATTATATTTTAATAAAATAGTAATTTAAAGGGGGGCGCCCGAGCATCTGTCCGGGCCAAGTATCTAGTATATATATATACACACACACAGAAATGGAGTATATATATCTGTCAAGATGTTTTAAGGACAGGGTTAATACAGCCTGTCCTCCTTAATAATGTATCCTAATCCTGAGACAATTGTAAGAATTATATCAAAGCTGGAAGATAGATTACCTAAGCAGGACGGTTAAACATATCGTTATCTATGATTCTCCATCTCTTTACGTGTCCGCAATCAGGAGCAGGAAAAATTTTTAAACTAATTCTTTTGCCCCAAAACAAAACAAGAAAGGAGAATTTTGGTCGACCATGGATTAATTAATGCAAAGAACATTGAGTTGACCACGATCGATTATATTTATAGTGATTATAAAAGGAAATACGTGGAGTCAGCTTTGTTTACAAAATGGCTTGTTTCTTGACCCAAAAACTATGGCTGGAAATCAGAGAAATGCTTGGTTTTCAGTTATCATATATACAAGCAACATACATCTGTTTAAGTAATAACAATATTGGATGAATATTTTTCTTGTCAGGTTTATCGGAGGGTGAACATGTAACAGTAATTAAAATATTATATTAATTAAATTTTACCATTTAAAAGACTTTTCAGTTTGAATCTGAATTTAGTCAGATACGTACATATAATTTTTGGACACGTGGCACATAGTTAATGTATCAAAAAACAGGATGTACTACTAATACAACTATATCAACGAATTAGTTTCCAGGTTATTATTAAAAGTCAAAAGGGATGGTACAAGTTTTTAATTATAAGGAAAAGTAGTCAACGTCTTGAATAATGTTAGTCGGCCGAGAGGTTTGAGTGAGAAGCAAAATAAACAAGTAAAGCTTGCTTACAGCATGAACTTGATTGCCAACTATGATTGAAAAGATGAAACCCGTGTCTCCATTTGGCAAATTAGCGGTTTACAAATTTGGTTGGGAAATGGCAAACTTACAAGTGACAAGCTACCTAGCTAGCATTCAAACCAGCTATCTCATTTCTACTTCGTCTCTTCCATCGAAGAGGATCTGTAGTAACGTAGAGTTTATAAAGTCTTGTTTATTATTAAAAAAAAAAAGAAAGAAAAAGGCCTAACACCCATAAACAAAAGTCCGGTATAATTAATCATTTGTGAGTAACCAAAATCATACACAGATTATTCACAACAAATTTAATGTAATTATAAAGTCCAATATTAATATTCATATATAATATATACTCACGGTCTCTCCAAAGGTGAAAAGTTAATTTATTCATAAATAACCTGGAAAACAGATTTGAAATCTCATAAATTTATCTGATTAATCCATGTGTACTCATTTTTGTTTTTAGCGTCAAAATTTGTTACATTCTTTGATTAGGTACGAACAATCAAAGATATTGATCTGTGGGTGGGAGGCCTAAGCGGGATAGTTAGGAGATTAGGATGGAGGATGACTAAAAGTTCGATTTTAACTGAAACTATTCAATTTTTTTTAAAATATATATATATATATATATATATATATATATATATATATATATATAGTCAAAGAGACTGATCCTTGTGTGATCACTTTTACTAATCCTTAGAGTTACAATTTGCTACAGTCTTTGATTAAATGCGAACAGTCAAAATGTCGACTTGAGCTTCCATAATTACATATCATTTAACCATATCATAGACAATGTTGTTCAATATCTCAATCAAACACTGACTAATATTTGGCATTTTAAGTGAGCACATAAATAAATAAATAAATCACGGTTACGCTTTGGGGTATTGATTAATTATATATACATGTACTATCTTTATTTTTTTTTTTTATGTCTGACCTTCGCGAAGTTCCAGATCGTTCTACTAATATCTCGTGACTTATGCTTTTGAAAATGTAATTCACTCCTCGATCGACTGCCAAGAACTTCTGCATTTTTCATAAATGTGTTTTAGCAAATAGCAATCATTTAATTTTACTCAAAAAGTGAAAAATAAACTATCTATTTAAGTATCAGGTTGATTTGCTACAGATGTTTCAAGTGATTAAAATGCAAATTTTCATGGTAAATATACAAAAGAAATCAATAATTCATCCGGTCCCGATTTGTTAAATAAAATGAATTATACATATATGTTTTTTTCTGCGATAACTGCATAGCAAAAATGAACGGAGTTTTTTTCAGTAAACAGTATCCAAATTGATTTATATAGACAAAATAATATCATGTAAAAATGTCAACTGATGGTGCAGTGATATCGAAATTGATGTAAACTAACATTTTGGTGTTTTCCTAATATTTTTAATTACTCCGTGTATAATATTTGTGACTCTGTTGAAGACTAACTAGGAGTTAGATTGAGGATGAAATTAAAGGAAAAGTAAAGGGGGAAAAAAAGGAGAAGAGAAAAATATCAATTAACACATGGTCACATCAAACTTTAATTAACTTGGCCTCCATCGCCACTTTGTAAAATTAATGCTCATTTCTTCCAAGCAACGGATGTTACAGCTGAAATTCTACAAATCAAACCATTTGTTCTTTAATTAGACCAGTAATTCGAATGAGAACTGATTTAGAATTTCTTAAATAATTTGGACTACATCAACTTAACGAATTAACAAACTATTGGACAATGATCCATTTGGGTTGTCACTCCTTATGTTTGACATTGCCAAAGGTCAGGAAAACTCCATTGTTACGTGAGGCAAATGATTAAACAAACACTATTTGGTCATAAATAATAATATCACCTGAGGCAGAATGCTTCTGTTGTGGGTTTAATTAGGAGTAACTCTCAAAAACATTGACCAGATTATTATATAATCATTAATATGTTTTTCCAAAGTACAGCATTGTATGCAATTCGCCGCCCAATGAAACCATCTTACTCTAACCACCATTTTATTATTAAATTTTTACGCTTATAATAATTCCTTTTTTAAAATCACAAAATGAAAGAGTTGACAAATGACAGTCCAAGATGACAGGAATTGTTGGTATAAATACCAATCTAATTACAGCATTTTCATCACCAGAACAAAGTGTCAACTCTTTTAGCCACGTCCAAAGAGCCAATCAAGTAAAAGTTTACCTTTTACTTTATCTTGGTCCCCTTGATTAGTTTCTCACATATTTTTTTTTTCTTTGGTAGTTTTGGTATCGCAATGGCAATTCCGGTGATTGATTTCTCAAAGCTTAATGGAGAGGAGAGAGTTAAAACTATGGTTCAAATTGCTGAATGTTGTGAAGAATGGGGTTTCTTCCAGGTAAATAAAATTCGTTCAATCTTGTTTCAAAAGCATTTTTGCCAGCTTATTTCCTTTCAATTTGTTTGTGATCAGCCTCAAAATAATATTCTTCATGTTTTCCTTCTATAATATACTTACAATATTTGTCAAAGAATTTTGTCTTACGAAAGAGATTTTTTTTATCTTATAAACGAAAATTAATTTAAGCATGATATGTGCCCGTTTAGAATTATGGTGGTTCATGTATCTAAAAAAGAAATATATACTTACGTCCCAAAAGGGTTTTGGTTTTCTGAATTTAACAATTATTAGAGCATGCAAAATAAACTCTCATTTATGAACAACTGAAATTGTTTGTAAAACTTTGTGTTGTATGAATTTAGCTTGTGAACCATGGGATCCCTGAGGAGCTGCTGGAGAAGGTGAAGAAGGTGTCTTCTGAGTGCTACAAGCATGAAAGAGAGGAAGGTTTCAAGAACTCAAAGCCAGTTAAGATGCTGGAAGAACTGCTTGAAAACAACAGCAATGAAAGACTTGAAAATGTAGATTGGGAGGATGTTTTCCTTCTCTCTGATGAAAATGAAAATGAGTGGCCATCAAAAACTGCTGAATTCAAGTCAGAAAATTATCCCCCCTATATAGTCAACAACCTTTCTTTCAATTTTAATTTTTTATTTTCATTTTGTATTATGTAATAAAATCATTAATGCTCAGTTTCTAACAAATCTTATAATTACAGGGAGACCATGAAAGAATATAGAGCAGAACTGAAGAAACTAGGGGAAAAAGTCATGGAAATCATGGATGAGAACTTGGGATTACCAAAAGGCTACATCAAAAAGACATTCAACGGAGGCGAAAACGAAGAAGAAAGTGCATTTTTTGGGACTAAAGTCAGTCATTATCCACCATGTCCCAATCCTGAGAAGGTAATAGGCCTAAGAGCTCACACTGATGCTGGAGGAGTCATCTTGCTGTTCCAAGATGATGAAGTTGGTGGCCTTCAAATCCTAAAAGACGGCGAATGGATCGACGTTCAACCTCTCCCAAATTCGATTGTCATCAACACTGGTGATCAGATCGAAGTCCTGAGCAATGGGAAATACAAGAGTGTTTGGCACAGGGTTTTAGCCACCCCAGATGGAAACAGAAGATCCATTGCTTCATTCTATAATCCATCACTTAAGGCTACCATTTTTCCTGCACCTGAATTGATTGAAAAACTGGCAGCTGAGAAAGAAGAGGTCAAAGAATCAGCAGCAGAAGCATTATATCCAAAGTTTGTGTTTGGTGATTACATGAACATTTATGCTGTTCAGAAGTTCCTTCCCAAAGAACCAAGGTTTCATGCTGTTAAAGCTACCTGAGATCAGGGCGCAGGCTAAACAAAAAATTGTCACTGTCAAGGATGTAAATCTTTTTCTTTAAGAAAACAAACTTTTTTTCTTTGTTTTTTTTCTTTTATAGGAAGAACTTGTAATGAATGTCATGTGTAAGCTTAATTCTAATTGTTCAGTCATTTGTTTGTTAGATACGAAATTCGGTTTTTAATCTATGACTCAGTGTATTGAAGTTTAATTTTCAACTTCGTTGTTTATTTTTATTTATGGTTTTTGTTTCTTGTTTTCTTTTTTTTTTTTTTTCTGAAGTGTGACTGTTGACAATTTTGTTGGTTAAAAAAAATGAAAAATTAACTTCCTCTTTCACATTTTGTTGTTTTAATTGACAGACTGACATGAAATACTAATTGAAAAGCAGATTATTATTGAAAAGAACATAAATAATTCAAAGGAAAAAGTAGTATTTGTTGGGAGTAAATATTGTTTCATATTTAAATAACTTTATATTGTGCAGTTAGTTTTTTCTTTAAACTTTCATTGCGGAGTTAACTCATGTGTCAAAATTTATAATGATTTTTTTTTTTTTGGAAAATAATCCTACAATTTATTAAGCGAATTATTACAACGCAGATAAGTCATATTATGCATCTCTTGACATCATTTTGACTTATTTAAATTCACTAATAAGACGAGATAAAGCAAGGATAACCGCTTGTGCATTTATCGAAGTTTCTTTTCCCTGTATATTACACATTCGGTGTCCAAAGTCATTACTCTGACTAATTCGATTTTTAATGGTATTTAGCGGAAATTTTTTATTCTTATTTCTGATGTGTGACTTAAAGGGTTTTTTGTTCGAACAGTGCACATCGCATATGTGCTCTCAAAAGTGAAATTTCAAAGAACAGTACTGGTACAAATTTTGGTACACAATTTCTTCAAGCACACAATTGTTTTTGAAATAAATAAAAAATTAAATTTAACCAAAACTCTAACTTGAAACTAGTGAGAAACTCTACGAGTGGAAGAACTATTCACGGGCCAATTTTAGGACAAATATGACCAGAAATATTACCCGAGTTACATATATCCTTGGTCACATTTGGCCAACATCATTGTGGTCAATACATACAGTATATAGAATTAGCGATTGGTAAAATATCATCATGATGCCTTAAGGCAAGCTGTTATAAACTGTGCACCAGAGGGGGAGGAAAGACGACATTAAAAAAGTCCAAGGAATTCTAAAAACATAAAATAAATAAATAAAAAATATTCCGATCTCATGGAAAATCTTATAAACCTAGTATGACAACTCAACTTCATTACTAAAAGAAGCAAAATGGGGTCTCAGCAGATGATAGGTACAACATGTTGAGCAAGCAGCAAGGAAAAGGGCATTGAAAAGAAGATATACTGATAAGCAGTTGTCCGAGCAATATGTTATGCAGGCTAGAAACTGATTTATAACTTAGTTAGCTATGAGAAATGACAATGTACAAGTTACATTTAGAACCTAGAGCTATACTAATTTACACATATGTAAGCAAAGGAACCTCAATTTTATATGTGGGAGTTGCAAAAATGATGTATGCGTGTCGTTTCTTACTGACCTATAATATTTTTTACCTTTTGATATGTACAGATATATATACAAGTGCTCCATAATGTTCACAGAGCCTTCTGGTCAAGTCTCTCATTCCAGTTCAAGCAACGAATTAAGCTGTGAAACCAGTCACCTGTTTGATCACACTTGTTCACAGTAGGAAGAGGATGTTGGCTCATTGATATGTGAACAGAATCACCTCTAGACAATTGTTGCCTTCTCTTTCCATCAAACGATACCCAAGCATTACTCCGTGCATCCTCGGGAATCTGCGTGAGTGGATAAAAGTTTTAGAGGATTTGAGACAGTTAAAAGTATGCAAAGAGCAGTACATTTTCCTAACGAAGTTTTGAGATATTACAGAAGTGCATGCAGAAAATAAGATAAATGAGTTCAAACCACGTTTTTCAGGTGAGGAATTGCAGAAGAAATTTATGAGTTGTGAAAATGTATTCTGGCTTATTATATCCCCTTCACAGTTATCACGTTAGTATAAAAAATGTGGACAGTTATTTCTGAACAGCTCTAACCTTTTTATCACAATTTAGGGTAAGGCGCATATAAGAGTGTCGAGAATGGCCCTCTACCTACATTTTAGTTGGTTCAAATGCAAAAGCAAACATTTCTACCCGAGCTACAGACCAAAACAATTGGACATTGTGCACTATAAAATGCTAATTTTCAGGACAAAAATAAGGTGCTTAAAGATTCTATTCTTACACCAGCAGGCATTTCTTTAATCATATAACAGAGCGCTCTTGTTAAGAAAAGACTGCAACTACTAGTCCATCCAATCAGAGACATTTTTGAATTTATCTTGAAAAAGTTGATGGCAAATATCTTGAAATCTAAAACAAAAACTTAAAGCTCAGATCTTTAAGCACTAGCGTAATTGGTGGTGAAAGGCTTCCAATTACATTGGGATTCAATTTTTAGTAAGTATTAATACTAAGGGAGTGAACTTGAACTACCCCGTATAATAAATTCATATAAAGAAGGAAACATGACAGCATAGAATGCATTTGCTCAGACGGCATCCATCTCTACCCATTTCTGTATTTCACCCCATGCCATCACAACTAGCTGATCATCTTTTGTTTTCCGAAAGGAGATCTCTTTCATAGTTTACATTGATGTAACTATTGTTGATCACATAACTAAAGAAAGCTCAAATTCAGGAAAAAAAAAAAGAAAAAAAAAAAACTCCGAAAAACTCAACAAAATTTCCACCATGTTTTTCCATTCTCTCCTTGCAATTTCTCAATAAAATACAAATAAAAACTCACCTTCAGTTCAAGTCTAGCTGAGTCAGGAAGTATTACAGGCCTGAAAGAGAGAGAGTGTGGGCAAATTGGAGTGAAAAGCATGCATGGAACATTTGGATGTACCTGCACCCAAGGTACATAAGTCACAAAGTTGTAGTCTATTTTACTAGGAGAATTAAATAAAGGCAAATATGTAATTATTAATTATAAAAATGCATGAACAACTATGCTATCAACTCTCAATTTATGATTTATCTTTTGCCCTTTTCAATTGTAGTTAGGTTATGACATCAAAGCATTCATGGGCAAAGAAGAAAATGTGTAATGAAACACTCTGTCTAAACATGTACACGGAGATTAGTGAAACATCGAATTAATGTATCTATGTACAGGAAACAGAATTTTAAGCACTCAAAACATCTAGGAGAAGTCTACCATAACCTGCCAATCAGAATATAGTTAATAATGTTTCCACTCTATTGTAACGCCTTTCCATGTCCTTATGTTCATCCACACTCTGTATTATTACAACAGTCCAATTTTATTTTATTTTTGAGAACTTGTTTTGCATAAAATGGACCAATTTTTTAACCAAAAAAGAAAATCTATGCGTAACCAAAAATATAAGTGATTTGGAAAAACAGGTTAACCAACATAAGTCTGTTCCATAAAATTTAGTCATAAGAAGAATTTGAAAAGCTTAAGGTCGCAAATTAGTGCACCAGTAAAAGCACATTCGTAAAACTTGACCACATTTTCTGACTGACGCGATATTGAATATGGTTCCAATTTCCATACAACCTCAGTTGGAACATTGCACTTATTAGAAAAAATGATCCCAGCCCATTTTAAGAAACGAACTATAAAAGATCAATTATTACATCCGAGTAATGGCAGGACTATCTTACCATTGAACCTCCAGCAGCCGTCGAGTAAGCTGTGCTTCCAGTTGGGGTGGCCACTATGACTCCATCACCTTGTACCTGACAAACAAATTAGGGAGTGTCAAAACTGAAAATCCAATAACCTTAAAACTTGGAAGCCACATGTTTTGTTTAATGTACATGATAATAGTCACAGAAAAGAAAAATCATTAGCAATCCTACAATAAAACTGGGGTTAGAACAAATTTATAGACTCATATGAATGATTTAGGCACATACCTTTGTTATGAGACGATCATGCTCATAACATTCAATTTTCGAAAGGTATGGATTTGAGCCACGATCCACAACAACTTCGTTGAGGACATCAAAAACTTTTCCAGGCATAGCTTTCCCATTTCGAAAAATTTCACAACGAAGACGCATCCTAAGAGTTATATAAACTCCATCCACCGTGTCGTTTCCGTGAATGATTTGTCTTAGGTCTTTCTTGTAATCTTCAAACTATGAATAAATATGTAGTCAAAAAAAAGCTCTTAATTACATTATTTAATTAGAAACATGAGACAAGGGGCTTACAGCGTGTGAAGTAAGAAATCCAAGAGAACCAAGGTTAAATGAGACAACAGGAGGAACTGCATCCCTGAATATATTTGACGCATGGAGTATAACACCATCTCCTCCCAAGCAAGCCACAAAATCAACCCTCTCATGAAGATCACTATATGAAGAACATATTTAAGGATAAGACTCCTCTTGTAGGGGTCTAATATAGTAATTGTGATACAAATGACGGAAATAAATTTTAGCATCTTTATTCATAAGATCTAGTACCTTGTATCTTGGCTATAGAACGTCTGCACAAAGCCAAAGCCAGGGATTCTTGCAAAAATATCATGTAGCTCGGGTTCAACAAGGACACTCATCTTTTCTTGGTAATATAAGAAAGAAGCAACCTGCAGTGAAGAAGTTGAATGATGCTGAACATTAGTGAACTGAATAACAGGTAAGAGCTCAGTGCCATACAAAAAGTAAAGGCATTTTACAAGTAACGAAATGTAAATAAAATTTGATCTACAATTATTATCTCATTTTGGTATTACATTGAGAATCATTAAATTCAGTCTGCAAAAATCCCTATTATCATCATATTGCAGAAAATCCTAAATTCTCGTATGAGATAAAGAGCATAGATAGAACTGCATATGGAAGTAAAAAATTTATTAAGATGTGAGCTACATCGCCTGTTCCCTGTGCCATACTGTTACAATAACAATCATTTTATCCGCAAAAGATATCGCTGCAGCACCAAGGAACTGATAGATAATGAAAGTGAAGACTTCTAGAATGTGATTACGTTTTTCTTTAAAAAAAAATTTTAAAAAAAAAAGCTAGTATCGTCAGTAACAATGAAGAACACAAGTGAGTTAAAAGTACAATATCTCTATTGAATGGTAATCTAGGAGCCTAATTTAGCAGACAGTATGCACTCTAGAACTTTTATTTAACACTTCGTAATCAGAATACAGTATTGGAGGCTCCTGGAGTAAAATAGAAAGTCGATGAGGAGCGATCATTGTTTTTATAGTTACCAGATTGAGAAGTTCACTTAAATTCAGTGCCAGTTAAGAGCCTCGTTTCCCTAAAAATTACTATGCTCACATGAAATATAGGCAAAATTCAGAAGCTACCAGAACCTCACTCAAAACTTTCTTAGATTTTCAGTCATGCTGCCTCTCTTTACTTAGTTCTTTGGTGATGTTAAGTGCATCAAGACGATTTCAGTGACAATGCAGTACATGACAGTGTTAAACACGGATAAAAATGAGTTGCATGCTGAGCAGAGGGACAACCACAAGTGCTACATTTGGAACATAATAAAACATGAGTGGCTCCTCGAATATAAATAATCTGCTTTGATTTCAGTGTACCGAGAATATGTTTAACCACATCACTGACACGATATTTATAAGGAAATACAAGTGAAGAAATTAAAGATTCCATTGCACATCTGACATTCAACTTTAACCAGGCTAAACTTTTAAGGTACTCTATTTTTCCAGGGAGGAGAACTGAACCCTCCGAGGTTCAAACCCACAACCTCGTGGTTAAGGTACTCTAGTGGACAGGAAGTTGAAGTAATGAAGCACAAAAAATAAGTTGAGAAGCATGTCCAAGGAAAAGGGGAATGAGAGCATAACCAAATATATTTCCACATGTGTATGCATATTTCTTAAAGCAGGTAGATGTATAATATACCTCTTTAGCTTCCTCCATGAGTTCTTGCCCCAGCTTTTTTAGCAATAAAACAGTCTTTGGCGGGGACTTCCACATAAGCATTTGCTGCTGGGTACTCGGGTGTGTGAATGCCAAAGATGATTCTGTTACCTTTTCCCTAGAGCAAGAGAATCCATCTGTGCGAACTAAGAACATCTCCGCTTTTCTCCTCGATTGTACTCTCACAACTCCAGTGGCAGAAGCACACATGTTTCCTTCAACAACCTCCAACTCATTATCAAGCACAGATAAGGAAGCATCATTATTTCGCTGGTTTTCTGCAGTCTTGGTAGAAGATATAACACCCTTATCCAGTTTAGATTTTGAATCAGGAAAATCATTTCTTCCTGCAGTCGTGGTTGAATGACCATTGCTGGATCCATTTGAGAATGAAGAAGAATAATTACCATAGCGTTCAAGATCCATCATCTTTCCATCACCAGATGCTATCACAGGTTTTGAAGATGACTTCTTCCGGGTTAATGAACCATTTGAACCCTCCATTCTGTAAGTCCCAAATCCATTGTAATTTCCATTGTATTCATTTCTCCAGGTACTCCCATTAGAGTTGTAAATTAAAGCAGATATCTTCTGAAGTCTTGTCTTTTCATGAGTAAAATATGTCAATGGTGAAATTTTCCTAGTCCTCAAGAATTCGGACATTTCCTTTTTGGAGAGGAAATTACCAGGAGGAAGCTGAGACTCAAGAGGATTTACTTCAGGGTAGAAATTCACAAGTACATCTACTCCCTGTTCATTTATTGGTAATTCTTTTTCTTGGTTAGTTGCTACATCACTACTGACTCCATTATTCATAAAGGAACTATGATCAGATGCTTGATGGTTTCCATTTGCAACACCACTTAATAAACTACATGTTTCATTCATGTCCTCAGGATTGGAAACTGGTGCATCAGAAACTGTAGCACTTTCAATGTTTTGAGAGATGTCTGCCTCTTCTGTTTTTCTAGTATCACGTGACTGGAAGGCTGGAGAAGAAATTGCTTGACGAGAAGGAATTTGAGATCTACTGCGAGCAATGTACTGCCTCCACCTAGAAACCATGGCTGAGGTTCTCCACACTCCTTCTCTACTATGTAGATATATGGGTCTTTGCCTTGAATCTAAAACCAACGACGCAAAATGCTCAACCTGGCTCATTGAAGGAGCAGTACCAACTTCAACTGGAAGTTTTACAACCTGAATTTTCCCAGTCAAAGCAGCATCACGTATAGCTTTTTCATAGAAGATATCCTTCACGGATTCAGCTCTAAGATCCACAATAGTTCTGAATCCTTTCTCAAAAAGCCATTTCAAACCTTCTTCGGTTACCTGACCACCCCTCCAAAAGGCAACCTCAGAATCTGAATCTGTATTGTCTTCTACAGCGGACAAGTAAACAGGATTCCAATTGGCAAATAATGTGTGACAGGGATCACCAGCTTGACGAGGGAATCCAGAGTCATAACATGCATTCTTCAATTTTTGTAATTTCCGCCACACATCCATGCTTCTAGTGTCATCAGGTGTTAAGTACCCTTCAAGAGCAACATGCAAGCTTTCACAATACCTTTTCATTTCACCCCTAAAAACTGCAAGTGGTGGAAGACTATCCTCCAGTAGATTTACATCTGATTCACGAAATGCATTCCTGACTGACGATCTCCCAGATAATACATCCTCTCTTCCTTTATTCAGGAGGCACACCATGCAACCCAGAACTGAGACTATTTTTTCTTCCAACAATGGCTTATCCTCTGATGGTATATCATATGAGATGCTACATTCTCCAGTTAATGGATTACATAAAGTATCCATTAATGAATTGTGAAACCACTCAGCAGCCCTAAAGATTCTACAATAAGCTTCCACTTCAGCAATATCCCCAGGAAGTGGACCAATCCAATGTGATTGTGACAAATCACGTTTTTGGGTAGCCTAAATGTTTACCATGCAGTCAGTTTAACATAGCCCATGTGATCAATTATCTCTAAAAAGTGTTCAATGGGCATTCAAGACAGTATAACAAATTCTGGAAAAGTGGAGCTACTAAGAGACTAATTATATTCTCATAACTAAACACTAGAGGGCACACACATTGTTCAAGGAAAAAAGGGCAGTACATGCTACATAGATATTGATGGCATACCTAATCAAATTTGAAATTCATTATCCTGGCAAAAGAAGACATGCTTATTGCTACAACTCATTACTACTCAGATGATCAGATATCTCTAGGAAGTGTTCAATGGGCATTCAAGACAGTATAACAAATTCTGAAAAAGAGGAGCTAGAGACTAATTTTATTCTCATGAACAAATACTCGGTTCCTCAGTCATTCCATCAAAAGCATTTTCTTTTTAACTCCTATACCAATTAATTCATAATCGAAAATCATTTCAAAATGGTTGATTATCAATTAAACAAAAAGAAAAGAACCCACAGAAGATGAAAATAAAATGATATTGTGAAGAAACAGAATTTGCCTGCGAATTGAAGCCAATACTCAGAGAAAAGGAATTGGACAGCTGGGCAGTGACTATAAACTTCAAAGGCCGGCGTTCCAACGTACTCTGCTTCTTTTTCTTCTTCCTCTGCAACAAGAACCCGAACACAGATTCCCCGGTCCATTTCAGCTGATGAAATCGGTTTTGGGATGCTCCGAGTGCAAAAACCCGATTCACTGGTAAATGTAAAACTAGCATTTGTTGCTGACATATCACCATGAACCAAACTCGACTGTAAATTGCTGCCCGCCTTTTAACGGGTCTGATTTGGATTCAAGCGGTGAAGAAAGAAGATGGATAAATTAGCTCAAAGACTTCTTCCCAATCAATCGATGATTATTGGGATGAAAAGAAAACACCCAACAAGAGAATACAATTGGAGCCGAAGACGAGAGTTTCATGTGTAAGTTTCGTTTGTGCTGTCGGGGAGCGCATGTGTTCTTTGCTTGGTGGGCTTTTCACATTTTCTTTGATCAATTTGTTTTGGGGATTTTTTTTTTTGGATATTGGAAGAGAGGGAATAATGAAATTGTGGATAATATCAATGTGAATTTTGTGGGGTCTAATTTGTGGCAATAATGTACTTTGAAGATTTTCTTCTTGTTTTTGTTTTCTTTTTTTCTTTTTTTTTGTAAACATTTTGGGAAGGAATTTTCTTATTTTCATTATATTTTTTCTTCCACGTTTGTATGTCCATAATTTTGTGGTAATTTTTAGAGGTTGTCATTTTGAATTTGACATTGTTAGATGTGATTGATATGTTTCTTGAGAAATATAACCTTTATCCTATATTTGGTTCACATCATTGAGCCAAATAGGCATTTTTATTAATTTCAATATTTACTGGGGAGAAAAATTAAAGTACTAAAATTATTCTAAGGCTAGTTTTTTTTTTAAAGGGTACATGTATATTAATTAAGACGAGATATCTAAACTATTACAACACATACGACTGTAAGTTATATTATGCATCTCTACGGCATCGTGTCTACGCACTTTAGTCAGTGTACAAGACTGAAATGAGGAAATTGAAGTAATTAACAACGCAAGAACCTCATGTGCCTCGGATGACATAAAGGGGGAACGTAAATCTCCAAGGAGAACCTCACAATCCGTAAAAACCTGAAAGCAAGTGAGCCCCAAGTTTTCTAATTCCTTCAAGGCTAAGAGGCAAGTCATTGCCTCTGCCTGAAATGGAGAAAAGACAGTTAGATCCACCGTCTTTATTTGCATTATCATTCCTTGTGGTAAAATGATTTTCCAAACTCCAGCCCCTTTCTGTGATTGATGACTAAAAGAGACATCAAAAGTAATCAAAGCGTTCATTGAAGACCTTTATGGTGGTTGTAGAACAACGGGTCTCACATCCCTAATTGTTGCCTGATTATGTTGACGGAGATTCTGGTGATGAAGATTAATATCAGCTTGAGAAAGGCGTCAAGATATTACTAGATCATGAGTCTGATTCCTCCAAATTATGTCGTTCCAATCTAGCCAAATTCGCCAAATTATGAGTAAGAATAAATCAACCTCTGGCTTAGGCGACTTCATTTGAATCCATGCGATGAACCATTAGAGGAGAGAATCATATGTGGAGTTAAATATAGATCCAAACCGTGGAAAAGCCAAAGGCCAAATAGCCCGGGAAACCTCACATTTAAGGAATAAGTGCAGGTTATCTTCTTCTGCTCTGAAACATCGCGGACAAGTGGTGTCCACCTAAACCTCTCTTTTAACTAACTCTGAGCATGTCGACAGAGCATTGAGCAGGGCTCTCCAAAATAAGAATTTATGTTTGGGTTGGACTCCTGAATTCCAGAGATGTTTCCAGGCCAATTTCTTAGCCCACAGTGTTACTGGATTAGAGGCATGTGGTGGGAGCTAGGAATTGATGGCTTGTTGATATCCTGTTTTAGCGGTATACTTGACATGTTCCATGAGATACCAATGGAGTTAATCTCCTTGGTTCTATCTTGCCGGGTCAATGAAGATCTCTGATATGAGGGAAATGATATGATATGGAAAGAAATTCCTAAGAACTTGTGTTTTCCATTTCCCTGTAGGAGTAATGAAGCGATTCACCTTTAAATTGGTAGAAGTCGAAATAGATTGTGTACTGATCGGGTTCAAAACACCAAGAATCCAATTCGCAGCCAACTGAATGTCTTTACCGGAAATGACTTTTCACTTGATATTATTTTGCAGCAATTGTGCACCTTACAGGATGCTTTTGAATATCCACAACATCTTGCATAGAGTTTGGACCGGAGGAAACACACGATCTGTGTAGTATCTAGAGCAAAAAGCCTGGCCAATAGAGAGTTTGGTGTCGTCATGATCTTCAAGGCATGTTTAGCTTAAAGTGCCTGATTAAATTCCTTCATTGCCTTAAGTCCCAAACCTCCATGAAAAGGTAACTTTGTGATTTTGTTCCATGCTCGCCAGTGAATCTTCTTGTCCTGGCAATCACTCTTCTAAATGAAATTACCAATGATTTTATCCGCCTTGTTCAATGTGTGAATGCGGAGTTTGAAGATCTCCATTAGATACACCAGCATTTAGGCCAATGTAGACTTAGCTAAGGTAACCCAGCCTGGAAGTGACAGCAACTTTGTCTTCCATGATGCAAACTTGTTGCTAATTTTGGTGGTGAATTCCTGGAAGATGGCAGTCTTATTTTCAGTAAAATCCAAAGGCATTCCCAAATACTTATTATGACAACGTCCCATGGGGATGTTTAGAGTAGTATGTATCATATGCTTCATGGGTAGAGGAGTGTCCTAACTGAGGAGAATAGAGGATTTGTGCAGGTTAATACGCTAACCTGAGAAATTAGTGCAATTTTCTAACAGGCCCCCTATAAAGAAAAGGTTGTCATCAGCGTACATAAGATGACTTACCCTTGGCACTTGATGACTTATTTTAACTCCCAATCCAGGAAAGTGTTGTATCTCTGATTTAATGGCTGAAGAAAGGACTTCTTGGCACAAAATGAACATATATGGAGATAACGGACAGTCTTGTCTCAAACCTTTGTCGGGGGAAAAAGGTGGTAAGCTATCCCCATTGAAGAGAATGGAATAAGACATTGAAGACACACAATGCATGATCAAGGAAATCAGACGTGTAGAAAAGTTTGCCTTTTGAAGAAGTGCCTGCAGAAAGGACCAAGAGATTCGGACACTCGGTCATAAGCCTTACTCATGTCAAGTTTAATAGCTGCCAATCCTAAGTCTCCCTTATGATTCCTAATACACTCTATGATCATATGAGCAATGAATATATTTTCATTGATGTTCCTTTTCAGTACAAATCCATTCTGATCCTCATCAATAAGAGTGTTTATAACCTGCTTAAGATGATTCTTGATCATCTTGGTTATAATCTTATACTTGACATTGCAGAGGCTGATAGGGCGAAAATCATTGGGAGTAGTGGGAGATGCCATTTTAGATATAAGGCCAAATGAGTTTGATTCCACTCCGGGGGAAAGGAGATGGTTGTAAAGGCTTCTAGGATTGATGCTTGTACCTTATGACCAATGATATCTTTATAATGTTGATAAAAACTAGCTGGCATCCCATCAGGTCCCGGCGACTTCTAGGGAGACATTTGTTTACTTGCAGCCCAAACTTCTGTTTCTGTGAATGGAGCATCTAGAGAGGTTGCTTGATCCTGTATTAAGGATTCCTCTACAGTACTAAGTAGAGATGTGAAAAATGATGAGTCCAGGGAATTGTGAGAACTGGATTCCAATGACATGTAGATACTTGAGAAATGCTTTTGCAGTAGTGAACTGATTTGATCAGAGTCTTGAATCCATATCTCATTATCATCATGTAATTCATTGATCCGCTTGTTACTTTTTTTCCTAGCCGCCCATTAGTGAAAGAACTTCGTGTTTCTGTCTCTAAATTGAGACCAATTATGTTTGGCTCGTTGGTGCCAATATTGCTGCTGAAGTAGTAGTGCTTCCTTCAAAGCAGCTCTTTGATCCTCTAGATGTGAGCTCAGTTGCATTTGTAATTTATTGCTCTCCGATTGTAACTGAGCTTGTGCAACTTTTCAGTTAGTTTAAAGACCAAAGTATCTAGGTTACCATATTTGGCTTTACTCCAAAGGGGAAGTTGGGATAGAGTTTTGTGGAGTCTAAAAGAAAGGCCCTCTTGGGGGTTGCTAATGCAAAGACAAGGTTGTGTCCATGTTTGAGAAACCAGATGTCAAGAAGTGGGACAACTGGACCGAAAATTGGTCTTTCTTCTAGGGTTTTGTTTGTGTTTAATGTCCACTAAAATTGGTCCATGATCAGAGGACATAATCGGCAAGTTTCTAATGACAGCATGTTCAAAAAGTGTTGAGCCAAGGTTTTTTAACAAAGGCACGATTTAACCTTTCAAAGATAGCATCAGTTCCTTCCGTCTTGTTGGTCGTTTGTGGATAAGAGCTGCTAAATGTTCCTGGTGTCTTGAGGTCTAACCTGGCGTCCACATAATGTTCCTGGTGTTTTCTCCAGCATTAGTGCATCACTTATATCATCACCACATAATTTTAAAAGTGATGTGATTCGAAAAACTGCTGAAATATACTCACTAACTGTTTTGAAATCTTGGAAACGCAAGTGCAACCAATCATTACGAGCTTTAGGCAGCATGACCGTCTTTAAGTGATTATATCTTTCATTCAAACTCATCCATAAAACAAATGGATCTTCAACATTCAAGTATTCAATTTTCAACTGTTCATGAAGGTGGTGACAAAGGAAAATAGTGGCATTGGCCTTTTTTTGATTTGTGGCATCATTGCCTTCTTTGATAGTTTCTCCAAGTCCATTAGCATTTAGATGCATTTTGGCATCAAGCACCCATGATAAATAATTTTCTCCAGAAAAATCAAGAGCTATGAACTCAAGTTTTGCAAGGCTATTGGCCATTGTATGAAAATAAAGTAGGCTTTTTGAACTTACCTAAAGAAATGACTTTAAAAGATGGCTAGAGGACTTTCGTGTTGATAACGTGTTTAAAAGAAATTGCTAAGCAAGACAAATAGAGAAGAGAAGAATGGTCGTGAGATTTTTGGGTGTCTTTCTCATTCACATTTGCCTATTTATAGGCTTATAAATCTTTACTTTGTAAGATTACATTTAACCTCCATAACTTACGTAAATAAGATATGGGTAGTAAAGAAACATAGTAGTAATGAGATTTAAACTTTAAGACAATTAAATACATTGAGTAAAAGACATCCACAATAAAAATATTTCATAACATGTGCTAATAAATAATAATAGCTAATACTAGAAATCCAAGAAAGAAAAAGTGATGAGGTTTTGGGCTTCGATAAAATATTTTTCCTTCAAAATAGAACTATGTCATTTCAATTAAATATATATTTTTTATTATTAAAACAACTATTCTAGAGAAAATGAGAAATACATATCACAATGTAATTAAAGTTTTCCTGCCTAAAACATATTTATAGTTATAAA